AGCCCAACGACGTTACTGAACTGAACCCTGAGGGTGAGCCAGCAGGTAAAAATACCCTCAAACAGGAGGTAATGATAGCAGTAATTTATTTATTTTAGTCCGAGGCATTTTCTTAACATATTGCCTTATTTGTAATCATGCAAGCAACCAATCATCATTTCCCTAGCTGTTGACTGGTTTGCCATCATGAATGGCTCATTATGAACACAGATGATGTCAAATTCATTCTGCCATTAACAATAAGCCCCTCCTGGAAGCAGCAAGTTTAATTTGCTGTTGAGGGTGATTCCCTTTTTGTTAATTTCACAGCAACTCTATCCAAAAGGAGGTGAAGAGAACTACCATAGAATCGAAAAGCAGGACCAAAAGCACCTGATTCCACATTCTTTATTTCTTGTTAACATATGCAAAGCAATTACGGTCTGGAAGTACAAATACATGAGGGCCTTCTTGATAATGTCCGGAAGGTGTTCTGTTGATCTTTTTCTCTCTCTCTCTCAAGGATAAGAAACTCAAGACTCAAAAACAAAGAGGACGAGCATGGCCAAACGCCTGAAATATGCAGAGTATAATTTGACCTCAGTACTTCAACCCCGAAATTATTGGAATGAAAAGCAGCCTTCTCTTTAAACCCCCACATAACAAACTATCCGTTGAAATGAATCTCAGGAGGACAAACCTTCAATGGAATAACTAAACTTCAAGCAGCTTTTGGAATTTTGTCTGGCATCATATTATTGGGAAGAATAAGCTCTGGAGGTGTTTCCCGAACAGCTCCCAGCATTGAATCGTATTCTTCATCACGGCGAGCGAATTTCTTGCAGAGCACCTTCTCAAACTCAATTTCATCAAAGCCCTTGGCATTTTCTGCTGCGTGAACTTGTGCCAAATTGGCATAATTTAATGCTGATTGGGAGATGAAGGCCATCTCTTCTTCTGTGAGCTTCCTCAGGAACTTAGCTGGATTGCCTCCCCACACCTGAAAGCAAAGAGATCACTTGACCAGTAATCAACATCTCATCTAAGCGATCTAATGAAAAAAAGAGTACAATAAGAATCGCATATAATGAGGTATTTTTGGCTCTAATCCACAGGCAACCGTTCCACATGACTAAACAATATGTGTACAATGGCCACATCAACATAATATCACAATTAAAGTAAAATACAGAAGTCCAAGCCAAAGCAGCTGCATGGAATGTTCTTCAAAATATTTAAGTATTTTGAAACATTCAACTGAGAAGCATTTGCATATGTGACCCACGAGATACGCACAAGAAATACGGATAAAACAAAGCTGATTACTCACCAGAGTAACCAAAAGATTAGAAATTTATCTTAGTAGAAAAACAAGCTAGTTGTTTCTATCTCCCACTAGATACCATTTATGCCAAGAAATTAGAAAACTTCATAATCAATAAAACCAAAATAATGATTGCCATTGTCAACCCGAAGGTTTCAAAGTAACAATTCACCATGCAGACAATAAAATTAAACATCAAATGACAAGGAACTCACATTTTGTATTGCTTAGCCATACTTTATGTCAAGCATAAATCCCATAGAAACAGGAATTGAAATTTGATTGGATAAGAGTTTGCAGGCTTTAGGGGAAAAAATCAAGAAAATCAACGAGAATTTCACACACCTCTCCAGAGGGAATCCTAGTATTCTGCCTCACAAGAGCTCCAGCAGCAACCATGGCATGTTTCTCAACACATACCCCATCTAGCAGGGTTGCACCCGGACCAACAAATGATGCGTCCTCAACAGTGCATCCATGTAAAACAGCACTATGACCTGTCCATTTGAAGTTTGTAATCATAAACCAAGATCCTTGATAGAGACGCCCTTAGCAGGACTATGATATTTACATTCAGAATGCGACCGAGCATGACTTACCAACAGAAACATTATCCCCAATAATGGTTGGTAAAACCTTTCCACTTAAGTTAGACTTTGCAACATGAACAAGAGAATTATCTTGTATATTGGTTCCAGACCCAACACTGACGCTGTTAACATCACCTGCACGGATGGAGCCACAATGGACAAGAATCAGCAATATATGATACACACAAGCAGACCACGCTCTTCCGTGAACATGAGGTTATTCATCTATATCTCAAGACCTAAATATGCAATCATTTAAACTAGAGCATCTTGTTGAGTTAAGCCCCCATATCAAGCTTTAACTTTCACTAAATTCATGTGGTTAAAATACCCTACGGAACGAAGCTATCACTTCTAACTTGGCGTCATTATATCTAAAAACAATATAATCAAATATCAATGAGAAGTGAAATAAGGACGGAAAAGGGGGGAATTTCTATTGTGATGGATAAAAAATGTTAGGCAAAAAATAAGTTGTCCATCTTACCTCTCAAAACACAGCCGTACCAAATGGAAGAACCTCTTCCCACATGAACATTGCCAGTTATAGATGCACTAGGGGCTACAAACGCATCCTTTTCAACAACAGGAGCTTTATCAAATACATTCATGAGCGTCCGATGCCTAGATACTATATAATCAAAGAATAGAGATTACAAACCATAAACCCATTTCTGAATCTACTATATGTAAAAATAAATAAATGAATAAATAAACAAACAAATAAATCGCTCTAATATAGACTAATAGTATAAATGTAACAAACTGAATCATACTCACGCTGTTCTTTGAAGTAGTAGTTGCCTTGAAGCCGGCAACCGAGGCGATCAAGTGCTTGACCGGTTTCACGGATCCAGAATCCTACGCTGTAGATTGCTCTCCCTAATGTCCCCATCTAATATTCTGCCTAATCAGATTTTGGTTTATTTTCTTCAATTGAAAGAAATATTATTATTATTATTATTATAGCATTGGAAGAAGAAGAAGTGGAGAAAGAAATGAGAACAACTGTAGAGACCGAGAAATGCGAGGAGGCGGAGTAGTAGATACCGATTACCTTTCAAAACGCTGTGCAAAAGACTCCCTGCGTGTGCACTACACGAGTGCCATCTTGTCTCCCAATCACTTTTTTTTTTTTACTTTCCGTGGTCTTGCCACGTGTTGCATTTTGCTGGGTAGTTAAGGCTTTTAGAGTGCACACGACATCGTTTTTGTTTAATACGCCGATATTTTATTTTATGTTTATTTTTATCCTATCTCTTACAATGTGAACACAGCTTCTTATTTGTTTAATATACTTTAGACTAATGATTTTTGTTTTTTAAAAATAAAAATAAAAATAAAAATGAGAGAGACTTAGATATAAAATGCAAGCACAAATCTTTACTTGCAAAGCTAGTTAGAACATTGTGTTATCAATAAATTATTTTATTCGAACTCTAAACAATTAAATTGTTGTAATAATCAAAGCTAGCTATTGCAATGATAATAAGGTTTGCTATTTTAAAATTGGATATTGTTACTAATTACTACCAAATAAAACAAATATAGATTTTGAAAGTAAAAATTAAATAAAAATATATTAAAAATACATTTGAAAATATAATAGCAATTACTTTATAAAGTGTTTTTTTATTCAGAAATATATTAAAATAATTTTTTTTAACTCAAGTATTGTTCTGAATGATTTCTTAGATAATTTTTATAACTCAAAAATAAAAATTAAATAAAAACATATTAAAAAAATAATTGAAAGTACGATAACTATTGCTTTATAAAGTGTTTTTTTTATTTAGAAATATATCAAAATATCACCTCTAATTATGCTAGTTGCATGATATTTTATAGATTACAATCAAAATAATTTTTTTTAACTCAAGCATTGTTTTGAATGATTTCTTAGATAATTTTTATAACTGTACTTAAAACAAATAAATACTTCATAAGATAGATATGAATTTGAACTTGTTTGTGATTATGATTATGGTTGTTTTTTAAAGTATTTTTTATGTTCGAATATATTAAAATAATATTTTTTTAGTTTTTTAAAATTAGTTTTGAGATTAACACATTAAAATAATTTAAAACATATAATTTTTTTTTAAAATTTTAAAAACTTGAGTTGAATCAAGTTTTCAAATAGGATACAAGACTATACAAAACCAATATCCATCTCTCTCCAAAAACTATTGGTGGTTTATTAATTTATCTCTAATGTTTTGAAACATTCAATTTAGAGAATATAGTAAAATATTCAAAATTATAATGTAATCAAACAAGATCGTAATATGTATACAAACACATACAAAACAAAGTATTATATTTAAAACATAAAATACTAAACTAAAATCAACGTAAATATAATAAACTTGTTTGTTAAAGTATTAAGCAAAAACAATATAAATATTCAAAGGATTAGACCCTCTATTTTTAAAACTAAAATGCCCATATCTTATGATAATCAAGAATTTATTGGGATCAATTTTTTATTTATGTTTAATTTTTTTTTAAAGTTAATGTTTTATATTAAAATATTCTTATTGAGTATAATTTTTAGCAAAATCTCAATCCTAAAGGTGAGTGAATGGATACCAATTTTTATTTGGAATCAAAATGCGCATTAACCATATTTTTGAAAATAAACCTGTAACAAGAGCAGTATTGGCTTGTATGGGAGAGTGCTTTCTTGTAAAGATATAGCCACTAAAAGCTGGCAAACCACCATGAATATGAAAGATACGGACTGATTCAAATGACTCTTTTAACTTCGAGAGATTTCATTTGTTAACAGACAGCACTCCTTAATGTGCTGCTGAATTTCTTGGACCTTTTTTATGGAGACAAAGTGCCCATTTCTGGCAGGGATTCTCAGGTAAAAGCTTCATAAAATGGCAATCCTTGGCATCGTAAATGCTTATTTTTTCTTATACCCTTACCTTTTTGAGGCACTTGTACAACCATTGTCCAGGGATGATTGCTGCATGATTATCAAGCAGTTCTTCTGGATCATCTTTTATCAAACCAATACACACAACAGACATTGTGTACAGAAATTGGTGTTCTTTCATTTTATAATCAAGCAAAATAAAGCAATGTATTTGGACGGGCTAATCCATCGGGGGCAGAAGATCTGAACTTCAAGTAGAATTAGCATCCATAACAGCGGCACCTTAATATGGCACTCGAGTATGTGGCTAAGGACTTTCAAAAACCAGTTTCACTGCACGTACTTACTATTGCCAGAGCTCTTCCTGTACATGCTAATGAATTTGGCCACAAATTCTGCAGAACAAGTGCAAGATCAGGCTATGAACTATCTAAGTGCTTAGAGCATATATTTTCATTTGGATATGGAGGTGTAAACGATGCTAAGCATCTACTTCGATGAATAGCATAATCTTTTTGCGTGTATACCTAGCAATGATTGTTCTGTTAGATTGGTTTGTCCATTTTACCTTCCAATTTGAGCAGAGCAGTTGTTCCTGTAGGGAGCCTCTTATCCTATAAACAATAGCTGCTTTTTGTTCAGTTTGTTGACAAGACCGTACTACAAAGTTGGACTTCGTCTTGGTGCACCAAAGCAAGCCTGACGACACCACTCCACTTGGCTGGAAACTAAAGGATAAAGGAGAAGAAAAGGGGTAAAAGAGAACTTACATAATAAGCATGCCAATAATAAAGCTCCCGTTTTGAATTAGCCTCCACTCCCTTCAAGAATAGCTCTACCAATTTCTGTCAGTTGGAAATGCAGCTCTATCGGAATCGTTTACTTGTTGTAAAAGAAAACTATTGGTAGTAATCATGAAATGAAAGCTGAGAGATATCAAATGCATCACCAGGAGAATGAGTTTGGGGTGAACAAAATCCACGAGAAGCTTTTGAAACTTTCCCCGTACAGAAAATATCCTGTGAAATCCGTAAATGAAAGACGTGATCATTAGTGTTTAATTTTATCAGGAAAAACCGAGTATGGTAATATCTGATTGCTACCCAGTTAGATTTTCATCCAAAACAATTCTTCCATACACCTACAGTGATTGTCCTCACCATTTTCAAATAAGAAAGGAAAATAGAACAAAAGAAAAGAAGACGTACTTATTAGGTGAGGGATCGTTCAGGATTTCTGTTGCAAGTTCAACCAAAACCTCTTCCCATCCAAATGGAATTGGCTGATCATCAGAAAAAGGATAGCTGCAGAAGAAGATAGCCATAAAAAATTGTTTATTGGTAGTTACTAATTATCACTGCCATCTTTTGATCCATATTTATTGGAGGTTGAGTATGTCCATTTGTTCAAATCCTTACTTGTGTGCTTTGCAGGCTTCAAGAGCCATGATTGCTTTTCTCAGGTTCTGCTTCGATTTGGCAGCGATCTTAGAAGCAAAGTTCATTGGTAGATCAAACTCTTCTTTCCTTGCAATTTGGATGAGAACTTCCATGATCTGGGAAAGAAGTTGAATCAATAAATGAGAGTTAAGATAAATTTTTCATTAAGGTCTAATTTGAGCAAGACTAATTCAATAGGACCAAGGTCACATTTCAAGTATTGATCAAGGCCATGACTATGGGGGCTTAAAAATCTTAGTTTTAAACTTTGCACTGTATTTATATACCATTATTTCGTCCAAGCAGTGAATACACTGATTCTAATAGGAACATTCTTACCTCGTGGGTTACAGGAGCATCGACTTGTAAGACTTTGCAGCTATTTTTTACGGTTTCTAGGATGTCTGAATCATCTTCACAGCAGAGTATGAGCTTACAAGAATCTGTGTAACAGTCCATGATCCATTTTATCAAATGCTGTATGTTCTCTGGTGCTTTGTCAACCTCATAAAGAATTAATACTGAAATAAAGAACATTTAAGTGTTAGATTCAAGTGAATGAGTGGAACGGTTCATCAGGAAGGCAATCATGCTCATGTTTAAAGAGTTCACCTTTATAGTCTGGCTTAAAATTGGCCTCTCTAACTTCAGGGTTAATAGCATAAGTATTGCTTATTTCCTTCACTAAACCCATTAATGCATATTTAGCATTTTGTTCCGAATTTACATTGATCTCTACATGGTGAGCACTGGATGCCATTGAAATTGCTACTTGTGCTGTTGCCCTTTGTTCCTGTTTCACAAGAAAGTGTAAAACATTGGATCCCAAAGTTCTCCAAAAGTTGAAAAGAAGTTAAATATAACCGATGAATCTTCAATATTCGCCAACGTTTTTTTTTAAATTTAAATAATAATAAAGAGATATGGAGCTTTTAAAAAATCTCAGTTCTGCTGATATCTCGAAGACTTCAGGAAGATGAGATGACAAATCTGTAAGAATACTCGTATACCTGAACCTGGAAATATCTTAAATCATGTGTTTTCTGCAAGAAAAAAGTGAATTAAGTTATCTTAAGCATCCAAAAGTACTGCTCAAGAGAGAAAGATCATTAATGTTATTGCATCTGATAACCAAGGACATACATTCCAACATGCATCACCAAATATTTCGCCAATTAGAGCCAGTGCTAGCGCTTTTTTACCAGAACCGGGTGGTCCTTTCAACAAAATGTGAGGAATTCTGTCATGTGATACCTATGGTTATACATGGAGTGTGTTAATAAGGCCTGCTGGCAGAATAGACTAGGAACATTGAAGGACATGAAATAGTTGATAAAGCAGTTTGCAGAAGCCTAAGTATTTATCTAGAGTTGAGCAGATAAGAGGAAAAAATTGTCACTCAATCTTGAAATAGCTTACTAGTTGACTGAGAATTTGAGCTTCATGTTTGTGGCATGTAAATCCATTAAATGAATCAGGTTGATGCTTATCGGCCCAAAACCGTCTCAAGCTCTCAACCACAAACGCCTTCTCAATGAACGATGTTTCATCAAAACGTTTTTTTTCAGGTGATTTTGAGGTCTTGCACGGCCCCTTCCTCACACATGAAAACCAAGCTTCTGATTGCTTCTTCTTTCTATTTGCTGTGAAATTTTTCAAGCTTCCACTTGTTCTACCTCTTGCATCACTCATCTTACTATCGTCACTGGTAAGCTTGCTACTACTCCGCCTACTTGCTGAAGAGGCGGAAGTCATAGTCATTCGTGAACCAGAAGTTGTTGTCGAAGTTCTCCGTGGGTTATGATTGATATTAGCATTTGCTTTGTTACGCTGAAGAAGAGCAGAATCCATGTGGGGAAACATTGTGGGTCTTGGGTACAAACTCGTTACTTTGTTGTCCTTTACTATGGCATTCTTCTGCATCGCCAAGGCTGTCTGGTCGACAGAAAAGAAGATATCACCAGGTGGAATAGATTCCGTGCTTTCAAAATTCGGAGCATTAAGCACAGAACCTTTAGAAAGCTTGATGTTAGCAACTATCTCATTCAGTTCACCAACAGAAGGTGCTTTTGTATGAGAAACTTCCCTTTCCCTTTGTCTACGGATCATACTCCTTGACAAAGGCGATGGGCTTCTTCCCCCCTTTTGCTCTTTATGACCATAGCTGTTTTCCTGTTCCTTGCCCCAGGTCCTTTGTCTTGGTGCAGTTGTCATTCTACGACTAGCGTTTAGTCTCTCACTTAATCTACTGTCTTCGTCAAATTGCAGGTGAGCGCTCCTTTCTTCTCTAGTAGGCGTTCTTTGATTTTTCCTCCGGGCTTTATAAGGAGAAATTTGTCTTCCCTGCTCCGGTTTTGACATGGGACTAACATTGCTCTTACTGAATTTGGGTGAAACAGCACCACGATCCTCTCTTTTTACCTTGTACGGAGAAGCTTGTCTTCTCTGGTCTGGTTTTGTCAAGGGACTAACATTTCTCTGGCTGGATTCTGGTGAAACAGCACCACCCTCATCTCTCTGTTCCTTAAAAGGAGAAACTTGTCTTCCGGACTCAGTTCTCAACATGGGATTGGCATTTCTCTGATTTGGCATAGGTTCAGCGCCATCATCGTCTCTTTGTGTCTTGTAGGGTGACTTGCTACTGTGCCTCCTTCGAGGCGGACTGGAAGCAGAGTCCTTTGTAGAATAATCAACATATCTTGAAGAATGTCTCCTGCTGTTCTTCAAGGGGCTGATGTTTCTTGGTAAATCCAACTGAATTGGACTCCCAGAACCAAAAGCTTCATTTTTGTTATTTCGATCACGCATTGGACTGTCTTGCCAATCAGTTTCTGTATCTGATGGCTCGTAACCGCTTCGCCTTTGCTTCAGGACATTAACAAGTTGAGGATGAGGGGCTCTATATCGAGTCGAACCATTCTCCATTGAGCCCAGTATTCGGGTAAGAATTCAGGAGCTTTCAGATTTAGAAAAAAAAAAAGAGGAGAAAATGTCTCTCTTCCAAATAGCCTTGGTAAAGTGTAGGAATCAAGAGAAGTGTGAGATTCCTAAGAACAAGAAGAATTTCGATGCTGAGGTAAATAAAAAGGTATGGAATCTAAGGAGGAGACTGAAACTAAGGAATGCAGAAAGATGCTTCAGTTTAAAATACGATGATTGCAAAGCTGAAATATCGGTAACGACAATGCTTGGTGGCGTTCTGTTTCAGGTTTTTTCCAGCAATTTACACCCTGGGATCTTTTGCTTTGCTTCCTGTGAAATCTAAGCTTGCCAACCAGCATGTTTTGCTCTTTTGTGCTCTTTATCTTTTGTTATTTCAGTCTGTGGCTGGCTGCTGGACGAGAAGAATTATGGATCTCTGGAAGGAGCGTGGACTCGAGCTGCCGAAATAGCCGAATTTTCTTTGTCTAGAATAGGAAACAAATTCAAATCCATTTCAATTCTGCAACCTCCACCCTTCGCTTATTTCACATGCTCTTTTAGGATTTCCTTAAGAATGCAAAAACATTTTGCTAGTTGACCTAGTTTGTACTTCGAAATACTTCAACTTAAAACACCATTCAAAACTAAAGAAAACATGAGGAAATGTTTCCAAACCTGGACGTTTTTGGATATAGGGTTGTGTCACAATGGAGAATCTGAATGAGACTGATAATATGTCGAAACATATTCTCTATTTTCTGATGTATCTCCATCAGGTTAATTCTGCTTGGATTAATTGATGAAAGTGATGAAAGTTATCTTTGGTTTTATCTGCACAAACTTAACCCTTTATTGTCACATCAATTTGGATCATACTCCTTATCCATAACTACCTGTCAGAATTCTGGCATTGGGAAACTGTACAATGCACTTCACAATCAGATGCAGTAACCAAATGGCTTTTTTTTTTTGCTGTCTCATCTTCACTCCTATCCCTAGAAACTAGGTAAAGCAAAGAGTGATTTTGTTTTGTCCCTCGAGTTATCAGAACATACACTGTGTTGTAGCTGGTGATAAATGGGAATCCAATGTTTCTGGTTTTTGCCACAACATATTTATGATGTTTAAGCATGATTTGAATTATCAACGATTTTTTCTAGGCCATAGGATCCCACCCATTTATTTGCAGGAGAAAACAATTAAAGAGTAGCTTAAGTAACAGCTTGCTCGAACATGTTATGGTATTGACTCTGTTTGTTATCCAAACCAGCCAGTAAAAACCAAGTCCTATGAACTTCACACATAAAGTCAGCTTTAATCAGGAACTCTGATTAATGAAAGTATAATTACATTACAAGTACTAGCTTGAAGCAGGTGTTAGAACTGGGGCTGCAAAATTTGTTGCTTTTACAATGTCTGCAGGGAGGCTTCAGGTTTTAGAGATGACAACCAATCCATTAAGGATTTATTAACAAGCTCTGGAACTTCATCGTGCGGGCAGTGACCAGCCTTTAAGTTTACAAGAGTTGTATTTGGGTAGAACTCTTTGATTCGATTGGCCTTTGCAGGACCTACCCATGGGTCTAAGTCACCCCAGAGCAATAGCAGTGGGCATCTAAGTTCACTCAATGCACTGTTTAACGTGTACTTGCTTTGATTCAGCATGAATCGAGTCATCAATCTGAAGAAAGAAGAACGTTGATAGTAGTTGAGAAAATAGTCAAAGAGCAATTTTAAGTTAAAATCAAGCATTGGCTCCTGCATCTAAAGGACTTGTCTTGCAAATGTAATTGCTAATAGTCAGCAAGGAAATGTTTTTAAAATATAATTTCGAAACCAAAGTGGATATTTTAATAAAAGGACGTTAGACTCGTATATGCACCTATAATAAACTTCTCCAGCGTTTGGATCAGCTGCTGGCATGGTAATTGATTCCACAAGGTAGTCATCTACATTAGAGGTATTTATATAAACCTGCAAAGCAACATATAAGTTTCCGTTAGCTAAAGAAATCATAAAATTAGCAAGAATAGCATGCACGTTAGAGAATATGATGATTTGAGAAATCGAAAGTGACATATACTACGTTAGTATGGACATGTTTGGAGACTCAAATTTTTCAAAAACCATCCATGTGTATCGTATAACTGACAGGGATGGATAAAGATCTAATAAGCACGGTGGGCACCTTGGTTGACATCCCTAGAAGGAGCAACCACTTCAAAAATCATAAAACCCAGATCCACCATGCTTGTTAAAAGGAAACACAAAAGAGAAAATAAAACTCTATCTCAGTTCAAGTTGATGGCAGGAGACAATCTTAGCAGTGCTATAACAAAGTTTACAAACCCCGGGAATTTGGCCTCGATGACACGGCGAGCAATCCTACTAGTTGGTGTTCTACATGGTAATCAAAATTCATGAGGATGCAAATTTATCCATTCCATGATTTAATATAAGCACATTTCAAAATCATTTTCAGGCAGCAAGGCAGTGATCATGGATATACAACAGTGTTCCTGCTCGGTGATACAAACAATTTAACGCTCATTATTTTGCTCATATGCCCTTAAATGAGAAGTCCTAGTTAACAAATCAAGGAGCAAGGAACTTACACTCTTTAGAACAGATTCAATGCGAGCTGGCTGCTTGGCTTGCCAAAACAAAAATCCAAGAACTACACGCTGGAAAACTTCCTTCAGGGGCTTCAATACAAATTTCTGCAAGATTGATTCCTCAGACTCATCCATTTTTTCATTTGGATTCCCAAACTGACCAGCAGAATTCAGTAGTGCAAGCCCAACAACCTGATCAGGAAAGCCTACTGCTGCAACCAAGGCAGTAAAGCCTCCAAGGCTGAAAATTCACCACGAGTTATATAAAGCCAAAAACATAGAGAAAATAAACATTTTTCTTCCGCAATACATGTTTTAATCACATACACTCAAATAGACTATAATAAAAAACAGTGCATTTTATTTGCTATACCTGTTTCCTACTAAAACAGCTGGCTCTTTCACTATCTCCTTCAAGAAATCCACTACTTGATCCCTCCACACCATGGCATCATACTCAATAAGTGCTTTATCACTCCATCCAAACCCCAGCAAGTCTACTGCATAAACCTTGTACTTTTTGGCCAATTCAGGTATGTTGTATCTGAGGACATTGCAAAGATGATAACTTTGTCAGGTAGAACAAGACTTTCACTATAACCAAGGAACAAATATGTAAACAAACATCCATTGCATCTCAGCCCGGACAAAATTCACAACCATTTGATAAATAGCAGCATTGTTCTTCTAATTTTCAATTAGCAACAACTATAATGCAAAAAAGATACGATTCAGGGGAAAAAAAGAGAAAAGAGATCACATGCTTTAAAACAAAATCCATTGTCTGATTGAGTTTTGTTTCCAGCAAATGATCGATCATGATAAACATAATTTAAATAATAGCATTAGCGTCTCTTGACTAGATACACAAAACTTGGTTTGTTTCCTTAACTACATGTTCTCCAAAAGAGCATCGGGGAAAGATGGGTCTCATTCCTTAAAACATATGATAGAATCTAAGAATAAATACCTCCAATGAAATGCAGAAGCACCAAAACCATGAATGAGAACAATAGGAAGCCCTTCTCCTTGTACGACATAATGTATTTTGTGACCCCGCCATGTCCAAAAATTATATCCCCCAGGCTTGAATGGCAATCTCTCCATCCCTATCCCCAGAGAAAAGAAGAAGAAAAAAAAACTTTATACTTAAGCAAGCACAGCTGGATGGGAAAAATAAATAAAACTGACCTTGCGTAGGCTCTGTGGCTAAAGAAGAGCCCGTGACTGAAACCCCAGAAGCCAGAATTCCTCTGAAAGCAAAACTTCTCCTGTTCATTTGACATCTGCTTCCTTCAAGCCAAAAGAAAGAGAGAAAGAGGAATTCAACAAAAACCCAGAAACGAAATGAACATTTTAAAACAAAATAAACTTACTGTACTGATTTAATCTTGCTGGTGGTACAAGAAACCTTGTAGCAGAGGAATTGAATAGCCTTGACCTTAATGAAGGTGACAAAGAATATGATGAAGAAGACATTGAAACAAGCTGATTCTTTAAAATCTCTGGATTTGAAGAAGCAAATCACATTTTGGAAAGACCAAAACCAGCATTTAAATATCTGGGGTTGTGTTTCATCATTTATGTGGCTACTGTCTTTTGTCCTTGTGGCTGTCTTCAAGCCATAACCCTCTTGAGACTTTAGATTTTGTTTTCTAGTTAACTATTTCTCCTTGCCGCGAAAATTCGGACTTGCTAGATTTTTTCCCAAAGTAAAAGGAGGAAAATATTTCTTTATTTAATTCAAAAGAAAAAGAAATGAACAATATTCTTATCAATACTACTTTTTTTTAAAAAATATTAACAACTTCTTTGCTCAAAAATTCAAAAGAAAAAGAAATGAACAATATTCTTATCAATACTACTTTAAAAAAAAAAATATTAACAACTTCTTTGCTCAAAAATCATTTTAAATAATTTAACTTATTTTTAACTAGATCTGAGACATGATTTTTAGGGAATTGAGTTCTAAATTGTGTTTATAAAAAAATTAATTTTTTAATTAAATATTTTTTAAATCATTTTGATGTGTTAATGCTAAAAAAATATTTTTTAAAAATAAAATAAAATATTTATTTTAATTTATTTTAAAATAAAAAATACTTTCAAAATAACTGTTATTATATTCTTAAATATTTTTTTAATATTTACATTCATATAATAAATCTTAATGTTTCATGAGAGAGACTAAATTGTAATTGTAATTGTTGTAAAACCATACAATAATAAAAAAATAAATAAAAAGGGGGACATAGACTGGTCTATCTTTATTTAACGTTGTGAATTTTCATTATGTTCTTATATCTCTAATTACCCCTTACTCTAAATTGGGTAAATAATTTATGTTTTTTGTGTATTTTAAAAGTTGTATTCAATAAGTACTTACATATATATAATTGCATAATTTATGTCCTTAATTTTTAGTCAGGTATTTATATAAAAATCAAACCTAGAAGATGTAAAATTTGCTTAAAAAATTAATTATTTTAAATGATGTGTTATAATTTTTAAGATTTTTTTAATGAAACTCAGGTTGTAGTAACTAATAATTAAGACATATGACATATAAACACAAAGAAGAGAGAAACATGAAAATTTAAAATAATTTTTCAGGAGGATATATATTTTTCTTATTTCTGGTAGACTTTGATGTGCATTATATATATAGTAATTATAACTTGAGCATCATACTATTTTCTCATAATTTTAGTTAATATTTTTAATTAAAAAAACTATACATAATATCCTAAAAATATGAGACAAAATATATTAAGATTTAATATTTATTTCAAATATATTTGTTTGTCATGGATTAATTAAACACACAAACAATAACAAATTATGTATTTGTCATAATTTGTCTTGCGTTTTTTTGAGTTACTAAGAGGAAAATTCTTTTGGTTTAAAAAATCATGCTTGAAGTATATTAAAAATTTAAAAAAGTTTAATTATATATCAGATAATAATCCAGTGATAAAAGTTTGAAAATAAAGAGTTTACTCTTACTATAATTCTAAGTTCGAGTCATATGATT